TGCTCGCTGCTACTAGAGAGAGCTCACGCTGACTGTCTGTTGTCCTCAATCTCCTCTGGAGTGGCAAAGAACTGCCCTTTCTGGTAATATACTATTGCTTGGTGTTTGCAAGAGTCTGAACTATTCTACTTCCTTATAGGACTTGAGGCGGTGTCCTTTGCTCCTTGATCAAGTCTGAGAGAGCATGTTGTGATTCAACTTGTCTGTGAAAATGACATGCATGTTTCACTTACTGTTTCCTCCTTACACAGGCAAAATCCCAGAAACCAGAGTCTGGCCATCTTGAGGAAGAATAATCGATCCTTTATGAAGCGCATATTTAGCACTTGAAGCTCTCTTACTATGCACTATAGTACTTATTTATCCCAGCGCAAGTACTTGCTATATTGCCACCATCAATGGGGACTTTCTATTAACTTTAAATTTTTTAGGCAGTGATTTTTCTATAATTGTTTGTTTTTAAAAGTTTGTGGGAGTAACGCATACTATAGCCGCTGTACAGAAATGTCAAAGTGTAAATTTGATATTGCTGCTATTTGGGTGGTCTAAAGTGGCAGTCTCAGAGGACCAATCTGTTTTTATCTCATCTGCTTGTTTGTGTTTGGAGAGGGGTTTCCTTTTAATGTGCTAGGCCTTGGCTCTGCAGTGTGCAGCAGAAGTAATCCATTGCTTCATCATTGAAGTAAATGAATAGATGTCTGAGCAGCAACCCTGTTAATCAAACCCAAAACAATCAGCCAGAATTACTCTGGATGAAGAACCTGCCATAGTAAGTTACAGTAGAGTTCAATACTTGTCTGACTTGTTCAGAGGTCGGTTGCAGAACATACGTCTCTGTAATGAGCAGTTGATCTTAATTAACTTCACTGAGGTTTGGGATCAGGGGATGAGTTTAGTGGCTTGGCTTTAACCCTATTCCTCCTTCAGCCATTTAGCTTGCTGCTGTTGGCAGTAATGCTGCATTAACTATCTATTTCTACAGTCAAGACTTGCCCTAAGCCTTCTATCTTGTCAGACCTGGCCTGGGAATCAGGTGGGGAAAGTCATACATATTGTAACTTATGGTGGTTCTGTCTTCCTATAAGTCTATTAAATACCAGAAGTGCCCAGTATTCCTAAAGGCATCTACAGATGGGATTGTGATCCACAGTGTGGGAGCTTCAGTCCTACGGGCTTCCACTCTCTCAAAACTGCTCTTTTGCTGTACTGGAGCCCTTACTTTTTAAATTACTTGTAATAAAATTTGTATTTACCGATCTGTCTTTTGTTCTGTAAACTGAAACAAAGTCTAGGCAGACACTAGAAAGTGACTGACTGACTGAAAATTATGCTGAGCAGAATGGATTGGAAAACTACTCTTCTGGGGAGAAACTTTACAATTTTTTTTTTCATTAGCCATCTTTGGTTTCAAAATTTCCAGCTTATTCTTCAGTTTAGCCATAACTGTGATTGTGGTGTACTCTCGGGGCTCTGAGGGCACATCTACACTGCAACTGGCCCCTGCCAGCTGCCTGGGGCCTGGGTGAAGGGGGCTGTCTTTAATTGGAGTGTAGACAGTTGGGCTCTGGTTAGCCACGGTGGCTCTTTTTTGGTTCTCTTACTATGTGTGTTAATGTGGGGGATACATCTAAGTTGAGCCTCTATTATGGTGTCTTTAAAAGTTTCCAGCAGCTTGCAGGGATTTTACTTTTGGTGCTGTGCCTTTTAATTTTTCACTAACCTCCTCATTTTTGTGTAGTTCCCCTTTCTGAAATGAAATGCTAGTATTGGGCTGCTGTGGTGTTTTCCCTGCCACAGGCATGTTTAATTATATTATGGTCACTATTGCCAAGCGGTGCAGCTATATTCACCTCTTGGACCAGATCCTGTGCTCCACTTAAGACTAAATCAAGAATTGCCTCACCTCTTGTGGGTTCCAGGAGTAGCTGCTCCAAGAAGCAGTCATTTAAGGTGTTAAGAAACTTTATCTCTGCATCCCTTCCTGAGGTGACATGTACCCAGCCAATATGGGGGATAATTGAAATCCCCCATTATTATTCAGTTTTTTATTTTAATAGCCTAATCTCCCTGAGCATTTCAGTCACTTTCACCATCCTGGTCTGTACTCTATCCCTACTGCTATATTCCTATCAGACCATAGAGATTCTATGCTACAGTTTGGTTAATTTAAAATTTTTACTTCATTTGATTCTATGCTTTTTTACATATAGTGCCACTCCCCCACCAGCACAACCTGTTCTATCCTTCAGATATATTTTGTACCCTAGTATTATGGTGTCCCATTGATTATCCTCATTCTACCAAATTTGTGATGCCTATTCTATCACTATCCTAATTTAATACGAGGCACTCTAGTTCACCAATCTTATTATTTAGACTGCTAGCACTGGTATATAAGCACTTTAAAAGCCTGTCACTTTTTAGCTGTCTGCCATTACTTGATGTAATTGAATGGGACTTTTTTCATTTGACTGTTTATCTATGCATCCCATCTTGAGGATCTGATAAGAGAGTTTCCCAGAGAGTAGTTACTAGTGGTTCAGTCATGCTGGAAGGGCATAATAAGTGGAGTCCTGCAGGGATCAGTTCCAGTTCTGTTCTTTATCTTCAATGATTTAGATAAAGGCATAGAGTACACTTCTAAAGTTTGTGGACAATACCAAGCTAGGAGGGGTTGCAAGTACTTTGAAGGATAGGATTAAAATTTGAAATGGTCTGAAGTAAACAGGTTGAAATTAAATAAGGACAAATGCAAAGTACTCCATTTAGGAAGGAGGTTGCACCCATATAAAATGGGAAAACTGCCTAAGAAGGAGTACTATGACTGTGGAAAGGGACCTGGGGGTCATACTGGACCACAAACCTCCTTCTGGGATGTATTAGCAGGAGTGTTGTAAGCAAGACATAAGTAATTCTTCTGCACTGATTAGGCCTCAACTAGAGTATTGTGTCCAGGTCTGGGCACCACATTTCAGGAAGATGTGGAGAAAATGCAGAGAAGAGCAACAAAAATGATTTGAAGTCTAGAAAACATGACTTATGAGGGAAGATTGGAAAAAAAACTGCGTTTGTTTAGTCTGGAAAAGAAGACCGGGGGGGAGGAACCTTTTACATACTTGAAAACTTGTTACAAGGAGGAGGAGGAAAATTTTTTTTTCTTAACCTCTGAGGATAGGACAAGAAGCAATGGTCTTAAATTGCAGCAAGGGAGGTTTAGGTTGGACCTTTGGAAAAAACTTTTGAACCGTCAGGGTGGTTAAGCACTGGAATAAATTGCTTAGGGAGGTGGTGGAATCTCTATCATTGTCTAACCTGCTCTTAATCTCCAGCCACCTGGCAGGGATGGTCTAGATAATACTTAATCCTGCCATGAGTGCAGGGGCTTGAACTAGAGACCTCTCAAGGTTCTTTCCAGTTTTATAGAATCTTCCATCCTCTCCTCCTTACTAGGGCATAGAGAATCTCCATTAATAGTCTCTCTCCTCTCAGCTTTCCCCCAGCCCTTAGTTTAAAAACTGCTCAATAACCTTTTTAATTTTAAGTGCCAGCAATCTGGTTCCACTTTGGTTTAGGTGGAGCCCATCCTTCCTGTACAGGCTCCCCCTTTCCCAAAAGTTTCCCCAGTTCCTAATAAATCTAAACCCTAAGTTAAGTGTTCTAAAATGTAAACTAGTTTTTTATAAGCCCATCTCAGATTAGGAATTGTTAATGAAGGAACAATACTTTGTAAAAAGTAAAAGTAGTCACATGTTTCAATGGTTGCAGGGAAGCCTGTTTTCTTAAAGCAGTTGTAGTTCAGTAATGGAATGGGACCTGGTGCCAACCAGTGCTGTGTAGACAAGCCCCACAGCCAAACTGCTGAGTGGAATGTACAGCAGATGAGCTGCTTATTGCTCAGTAACATCCCCTCTGGCAGCTGTTGCTGCAGGACTTTCACTGCAAGGCACCATTGTCCACACCGGATGTTACTCTGTAGACACACAAGGGCTTGCCCGGGGACAAGTCTGTACTGGTGCCATTCAATGTTCTCCCTGAGAAGGAGGGCTCAGTCAGTGTCAGGGAGGTAGTTGTGTCAAAGGTTTTTCCTTAGAAAAGTCCCATAACATCCTTGATATTAAGTAAGTTGCTTCTGCCAGCAGCAAGCAATGTAACTGAAGCCTGAAGAAGCAGAGAACTCACATCTCTTTACAAATAAAGACACTGTTGGGATGCTTCCACCCAAAGTAAGCATTTATTAAATACAAGAGAAGCCAACTAAAGGAATTTAAAACAAGTGGCAATCAACCTGGCAATAGTAGTTTCTGGGGCAGAATACTATGGCTGCATCTCTCTTGTTCTCTAGATGACGAGGTCTAATAGGATACCTTATTCATGGGGAAATTGTAGGGTGAAAACATGGAATAAATTAACAAACTGAGCTGCCACATGGGTTTTCTCTGCAGGAGATGCACTGCATTCTTCCTGTTCAAGAGAAACATTACCAGTGTCTGGACTTGCCTTTCCCTATTGTAAAAAATACTTACAGCCCAGCTGCAAAGAAATATAAAGAATATTAGCCCATAGAAGTGGGGTTTAAAGAAGAATTTCTAGTAGTTTTAATTCTCTCAGAAGATGCAACTTCACAGGCAGGTTTTCTATATCCAGCCTCAAGTAATCACACAAAATACAGCTGGAGATGGATGTTTAGACTCATTAATGCTGTGTATGGTACCAAGCTGGACACCTTACTAGAATAAATACCTGACTGTTTCCCACTGCTGTGTAATTTTACATTCTGAATGAGTATCCAAGTAAAATTTAAAAAAAATCACAAACCAAGGTTTGCTTAGAAAGACAGGCTTACGCCAGGGACTGCTAGGTTCACTTTGAGCACAAGGAAATAACCAGGATTAGAAAAGCTTTAGTTCAAGGTCATTATCACTGAAGCCACAGCAGCACTTCATTCCTTGAACCTGTTCTTCCTACCAAGGGACCACACCATTCTTCAACTCAGGCAGAAGTAGATGAAGGTTATTTATTGTTGACACATTTTTCCTGTAGGAAGAAGCTTCATTTACACAGCAGGGTGTAAACAGCATTGACTAAAAGTTTGTTAAATGCAACCATAAATAACTATAATAAATAATAGATCAAGTAACTTTACAGCACACATTTCAGGGCCACGGTGTGGAGATGCTTTACTCACATGTGCTTTCTGGAAGGAGAAGCAGAAACATTAGCAGCAGTTATCTTACTCACAGCTGTAATCATATCCTAGGAAAGGATTGGCATACCACAGTCCTCAAACCCCTACCAGGGAGGCATTTGACTGAATTTTGAGTCTACTCAAGTTGTTAGGGGTTTGAAAGGAGATACTTAAACAGTACAAAAATGCTATTCAAACCCAGAAAGAAAACCAAAGCATTTAATTGTCAGGAAAAGTAGTTCTGCTCTGAAACTCAGATGACATTCTTCATGTTCCCCTTGCTCAGCAGCTGTTTGAGAATGCACTTTTTAGATGGGACTAAAGCATTTCAAGCAACATATTGTGCTTAGTTTTCCTCTGGTCTTGGTAAACTTTACACGTTTGCCTTACTTGGAATGATATTTCATCTACATCTATGCTTCTACCAGAAAGTGGACAAGATTCAAGAATATATATTATTCCTACATGTTTCTCAGAGGAGAGGGGGAGGGGAATGCTATAGAATGGTGACAGTTCTAACAAAAGGATTTGGAGCCATTGTATGCCAACTACTACTACTACAGCTGTTACACACACACCTTTCCATTCACACTCAGACCTACACACTTAGTGGCTTTCTCTGTTCTCACACATCCTGCTCTCCAAACATATCACACACATAATAATTCCCAATATTCACAATAATATACAAAAAATACAGCTTTTCAATTCCCATTACAACTGACAAGCCAAACAATTAGTGTATGTCTGTCTTCTAAAGAGACACGTAATACCAACCTTAAAGTACAGTCACACACACAGAGTCCTAGACCTTTCTGTGGTTAGATGTGCACCAGCAGGAAAATGACTAATCTGTAGCTCAGTACTGGCACTTAACTTACAGATAGTACTGAGCCAAGAAGTACAGCAGTAATTTCAGTGTTCTCTTCGGTTCTTGAGCACAAATAGGTTTTTCATATGAGTTCAGTTCTAAATGGTTTATGAAGTGATGCCTCACTTTAAATACACCCAATAGAGGGCAACACTTGTTTGCATTAGTGAAGGAAGATAGATGTGGTGTGTTTTACCGCTGCAGAACACATTCCATAACATACAACAGTTTAACATACAGAATTGTCACCTCCCGGTATTCCACCATTATCTTTCTATATAAAATAGAAGCTACATCTTCAATTCAGCAACTCTGTGTCTTTGTCCCCCTTCTAGGTGTCACATTTTTAGGATAATTTGCTTCCTTTTAGATAAATCATTTTTGAGTACAAAAAACAAAGTACAGGTGCTTTAATCACTGACTGGTTAATATTTTAAACATGGAATGTGGTATTTTATACACCATAGAGAGAACCCACTCTTTCTTCCAAAAAATCAAAGATCAGTGAAGGAATTTTTGTTAGTAGGTTCAGTATCAATCCAGGAATGTCTTGATTAGGACTTAACTGTATCATATTCTTCACTGTTCTGGGTTTTTCAGAGTTATCCAACTCTGAAGAGGAAAGTTTGAAAATAAAACATTGAAATTTACTGTGGCAGTTACCAATGTGTCTGATTTGTATTTAATCAAGAACATTTCAGGATATGTAAACACCTGTAATTGGGAAACCTATTTTCTGTTACAAAACCCGTGTGTGTGTGTGTGTGTGTGTGTGCGCGCGCGCGCTGGAAGTTCAGTGTATCGAGTACAGAAAACAAACTCTCAGCTTTCATATGAGAGGGATGTTGTTCTGATTTCATGGAAAATGTGAAAATTAATTTAAAAAAAAATCACATTTTTGTACTCAGAAATGTTTTAGAGGGAGAATGAGCTCTAATCATTTAGATCTGAGCTCTCAACCTCAGAATAGCCAAGTTTGTTGTGTTTGGATGGGCAACACAATTTTAAATTACAAAATTAGAAATGTACATGTTCAAAGATCTTTTAAAATTAAATTATACACATCAAACTGTTCTGTACTAAACTATCCTACAAATATTCCACAAACAAGGCAGCAAAATAACCAGTCCACCACAAAATCTACAAATACAAAATGTAAGTCTTCCAGTAATTACTGTAATGGGAACAAAAGTTCAGAAAATAAATTAGTCTCCAATTCTTCATGTACTGTCACTGGAGGTATTTGCAGGTAAATCACAGGGTTCCAACAGAGCAGAGTCATGAAACGAGCCTCCCAAAAGCATCCCTAGTCTTGGTCTTGCCCAACTCAGCCGCTAAGTGGATCCTCTCTGTAGTGAACAGCATACCGGAGCTTTTCTAGCATTATATCCAGAGAGGAATATTGAGGAAGCTTTATCATGAACATACACGTTTCAACACGGATATACCGAGAATCTGGGGAACCTGTAAAGGAACCACATGAAGGACTTGTTAACAGGCTCTGCACTTGGAAGTTCCAGTTAAGTTTCTTTTCCAAGAAGGTAATTTTCACACACTGTTGATATTAACACGTATCAAAGTAATGGAATCCTGGAAATTCTAGGTTCAGGAGACCCACCAAAAAGCCCAATGGAATTTATACTGTTAAGTTTGGTGGGGCCAGCACGTGGCCTACAGTATCGTCACTTGAAAAGAGATTCTGCTCCACAGGAGCCACATCACGAAATTCCATCACAGTCCCTGCCTCTGCGTAGACGGCCAAAGGGCAGGTATTTGGAGTCTTGAGAAGATTTATTTTCGCTTGAAGCATCTTATTAGGGCCTGGCTTAAAAACAGCCACATTATCTCTCTTGTCATAGTTACAACCAGTTCCTAACTGCAAGGTGCTTTCTTCTGCAGCCTTGTCTACACAGTGGGGTAATGCGCACGATGGGGTGTGATTTCTAAAAGACACTAATGTGTGTGTTAACTGGTCCGTGCAGACCCTGCTGGCGTGCACTAAGTTAAACAGCACTCTGTATCATGTTAGTGCACTTTACTCCACTGTGCGGACAAGCCCTCAATCTGTCTGACAAAAAATGTTTTAAAAGGCGGTAAGGATTTCAAATCTAAAAAAGGGTCACAAGGTACAAGAGGCTGACTTTATTTATACAAATGTACAGTAAACAACATACCTGCAGCTCCATCTGGGGGTGCAATTTTCATGGGATAAGGTGGGACATGTGCAGTATCTGGCCCTCCATCTTTACATGGACATGTAAAGGGGATTCGTTCCTGGTTGCAGGCAAACTTGATGAATTTGCAGAGTTCTTCTTGAGTAAACATTTCTAATGCACCCCAGAAAAATTCAATATGTTGGTCTGTTTCCATCAGCCCCACCTGGTACATGGTGTGTGCCTATCAGAGGGAAGGGGAAGGACAGTGAAATTAGATACAGATGAAGAACATGATGTGTATTACTCTCCTTTTCACGTCTTCCATCACTTTTATTTTAAAGCACCAGTGATAATGGAAATCAAACACAGCAGGGTATCCTAACCGATCAGTTTTACCAATACAAATTCCACTAGAAATCGATTCACTCAAACTGTTGCATTGAGATGTACCTGGAATTTTATATCATTCTATCCCAACTGCTTCTATAACAGACTGACCTCTACACAGACCCGCTTCCATGCTGTGTTTTATACACTGTTCTATACCAGCTCAAGGCGGCTGCTGTTGTAAGGCAAACACATGTGAAGAGATCACACAATATTGTAATAAGAGTTAAAGGTGTTTGATAACTGAAGCCAAAAAACAACCCCTCTTTGTGGTGCATTGCCTATAGCAGAATATTAACATACTTCAAGGCCAAGGTCAAGTAATTCTGAAAAAGTACGTTTGCAGAAATTATCCTGCTATATCCCATTATGAAATTTTAAACAGCTAATGTAATCTTAGCCAAAGGGGCAGATATTGAATAGAGTTTGGTGACATGGACATTTTTAGAGTTTGATCATTTAAATACTGATTTTAAACAAATTTAAGCCCTGCCTGAAAAACAGAATTGTAGTTTTTCTTGAAACAGAAGCAACTATGCCAGAAGGTGCTTACCAATTCATTACCCTAACTTCAGACACATACGTTCCCAAGGGACTTCAGCCCAACATACCTTCAGGAACTCCAGGTTAATGTAAGGTAACCCACATGTCCTTAGCTCCATTTCTAGAGGAGTCAGCGTTGTTAGAAGCTGCAGGGGTATAATCGACCCTAGTCCAGCCCGCACAGCCGTCATGCAGTCAGGATTCTGCAGTTCATGCAGCCTCAGATTCCGGATTGCTGTTGCATATATGTCCTTATTCTCCCAGCTGACATAAGGGATTCAGAAAGAAATGAGTCAGAAGAAAAGTCTTACTCCCCATTACAAGCTGCAATCCCATTTCCTGGGTTCCCGAACAGGGGCTTCTGGTCATTCATTCTGATGCCATCTGTTCCCAATTTAACCCACATGCAGCTGATCCTGGGGCACGCCCCTTGCTTTCATAGCTGTGAGTACACGCACACAACATGCAGCTCTGACTACTAGGAAGTGGTCACTGTGCAGTACGGCTCAACCCTCCGTTATTTACAGATGAACAGCCGTATGCTGGAGGTTCCCAGCTCCGGCCAGTCAAAGGTACTGGTATTCCCAGCTTTCACCATGTTACAGCAGCATCACCATTTAGCTGATGGTTGAAAAGCCATCACATTTATCCTCGTGAAACACCCTCCCAACAATGGTGTTACTCACATGACGGGAATGTGCCTGCCTCTAGGACACAGCTCCACCTCCTCGCCGGTCATGCTCAGGTAGGTGAACTTGCAGCACGGTTTATTAGGACAATCAGGGCTCTCTGTGGCTAGGTGCTGGGATGCAATTTCAGCACACAAGGCCTCCAGTTCAGTCTCATCGTTTATCTAGAATAACACGTGATAATATCTAGTAACTTGCACTTTACTGTACCTTGCTCTTGTTAATCTCTTCAGACATCATGCCAACATAATGAGTAAAAGGGCAGGCGCCGGCTTCCTCATTTCCCCAGGGGTGCTTCACCCCTGCCCTGCCACAGGCCCCGCCTCCCACTCCACCCCTTCCACAAGCCCCACCCTCCCCAGCGCCTCCTGCACACCGGTGAACAGCTGATCCGCCCCAGGCAGGAGATGTTGGGAGGGAGGGAGAGGAGCTGATCAGTGGGGCTGCTGGTGGGTGCTGAGCACCCACTATTTTTTTCCGATGGGTGCTCCAGCCTCGAAGCACCCAAAGAGTCGGCGCCTATGAAAGGGCCCCATTACATTTTACGTCAGCCAATGACAATGGCACAGACACTGAAAGGCAACCTGTCCACGGGGTAAGCGAGCACACGTGGGTACGAGGAGCAAGCCAGCATTCTAGTTTAGCACTGTACAGATTACGAATGTGGTATTAAATTTCACATGCTGCATAAAGTAAAATATTTAAGAAGGATAACGAGCATGTCATTTGACCTGCATTCCAGCTGTGAGGATCTGCTGGGGACTCTCTTAGAGGTTATGCTTACAAAAACCCTAAAACTATCCCTGTGACTCACAGAATGTTTTAAAGATAGTGCCAGCCACTGCTGAGCCCGCCCAATGAACAGACATTGCTGCATTTCCCTTACTGTGCTAACAGCCACTTTGTGCTGTGCATAAGGACAATTAAAATGTCTATTAGAAACAGGGGGTTATGGGAAATTAACATTTGCCAAACAGAACACCATGTTATTAGGAAAAGCAATGTTAGTTTTCACATTTTTAAGGGAATATTATAAAGAATAGTTTAAAAACTAAAGAGCATTTCACAGACAATTTAAAGCTACTACTGTTTTATAGTTCTGCTGACAACTGTGCACCGTATTAACATTTGTGCATGGCATCGCCTACTGCCTGCAATGTTCGAAACTAAGAGCTAAGGGCTGAGTTATGTAACTGATTCACAGCATTAGGTTTCTCCAGATTACTGAATTGCTGGCTAATGAGTAAAACCTGTTGCTACCTAATGTGGAAGCCCTGACACAGTTGATCGTGGCACCTACAGATAAATTGTAAAAGTTAAAAGTTCCTAGTCTCAATTTAAGCAGAGTGTGGCCATCCTGGGAGGGATGACAATGTCTGATTGAGCGGCTTTCCCATGCCAACGGGATGTAAAATGACAAAACTCAGGGTCTCATCCTGCAGTTTCATGCATGATGACAAAGCTTTGCACCCACATGGAGCCGTGCTGGCCTTTAACAGGAGTTTGAAGGATCAGGCCCTCAGGCAGTACAATTACGGCAGGGTTTGCTATCAGCAGCTAAGGCCCAGTGCACAAGGGCTATGGGTAAAGAAGACAAAGCAGAAAAGAGGGAAAAAATTACATTTTCAAATTTTTTGACATAGTTGTAGGTAAGGATGTCAGCTTCCTGGAGATCAACATCTGGATCCAGTGGTTCTCCTACTAAGGTCTTCCAGAATGAGGATAAGAGATCCAGTGGAAGAGGAACGTCAGCTCTAACTGCAATGCCCAGCAGCTGTCCAAAGAAATGAAGCAACTGCTCTTCCGCATAGGTTATAGGACTAGGTGTCAGAATATACTTCCCCTTAATAAAACAAACACAAACGTTTAATGATTAGAGAAAACGCCAGAGGTGAATATTTTCAGGAAGTAAGAATCGGCAGGTAAGAGGTTTTCAGCCACATTAGTTGCCGAGAACAGAGTTTCTCAAAGCATGGGGCCCGAAGATATATAAATGTTGGCCCTTAACAACACATTGGGGTGTTGAAGGGGGCTCTGCTTTTAAAAGTTTGGGAAACGCTGGCCTAGTTTTTTTGTATTAGTTGTAATAGTTTAAGGTCTAAAGCATCTAGGTGTTAAACAGCCCTGCGGTAGTCTGCATACAGACCTGGATTGTGTTTATGTTTATGCAGTCTGCTCTGCCCCAGCTCAGCAGCACTGCAGGGAAGGAACCATGCCTCAGTGACTGAGCTCTCTGGGACAGGGCCCACGGCTTTACTTGTTTCTGTAAAATGTCTAGCACACAAAATAGGGGCCAAATTCCAATACCCTTACTCACACTGAGTTGGGTCTTACTCCACAAGTAGCACTACTGATTTCAGTGAGGACACTTGTGGAGTAAGAATGGCAGAATCTGGCCCATAAATAACTTCTCATGAAGAAATACAAGGGACAATCTTGAAATCAAACACTTTAAAGGGTGCTTTGGAGGAGATGAGCTTTGTTCTAAGGTCAGAACTACAGCATGGAGCAGACAGACAAGCACCTTACTTCTTGTGGACATTTTCTAAACACCATGCAGGGAACTCACCTACCCATTCCCTCCAGTCATTAATGGGAGTTGTATGGCTAACTCCCACATGCATCGCTTTGAACCCCCCCCAGTTGTCAGCAACTGAGAGCATTCTAATCCTGCCCTAGTCACTGAGCGCCGATAGCGCGAGTGTCCTTCGTACGAGGAAAGCACTTTTCTATGAATTCCCCATGGGGATCTCGTACCTTATTCTTATTGACTGCAGAGCTGGGGCACAACAAGAGCAGGGAAAGCGAGGAGCTCTGTAACTCCTTACAGACCTGCCACAGGAAGTGACGAAACGAACCACCTGAAAGAGAGAGGCAATGCTTTCACTCGAACAAACCACACACACCCCCTCTGGCCTCGCTCCTGTTGCCTTCTTGTCCAGTGTACTATCCCCGTGAAATCAACATGTAACTCCAATTTCTACAGGTGAAACATGTTTCATTGTGTATAGGTGGATAACCAAGAGTGGGGAAGATGGCAGCCATCCCTAACCTGTTCATGTGCATGTTTCCACTGCCGTTGTTTAACTGCAGAAGAGAACATTCAGTGGATTGCTTTCCACTGCATTCTCAAGTAATGGTCTTGCCTTCAACCGCTAGTTGTTTATTTAAGGTTATCTGGAGAGGTGCAATACCTGCTTAGACTTCAAGGAGAAGTCATAACCTTATTAAGATGGAATGTATTTTCATAAAAACAACGAGGAGTCCGGTGGCACCTTAAAGACTAACAGATTTATTTGAGCATAAGCTTTTGTGGGTAAAAAACCCACTCCTCGTTGTTTTTGTGGATACAGATTAACACGGCTACCCCTCTGATACTTCATATTTTCATAGTGATGGAACATGCAGGCAGTGTGCTCACAATATAGTTAAATGCAATGAGGCAATACTGCTAGAATCTTAAAGCAAACCAAGTTAAGTATGCATCACATTAATCTATTTACAGGTATTGTTATTCATCATAACTGTGCATCTTAAAAAGAAAACTTGGATCTAATACTTTGAGGGGATACTTCAAACAGCTCTTTAATGACATTTCTGTGCACCTCCAATAACTTCCTGCAGTTTGATAGAACTGAGTAGTCAGTAGTGGGGAAAGTGTGAACTAGAATTTCCATTTTTCCATCTCCCGTGCTATATCCTGTCATTAACCTCCTAAGACGACCCATTAGAATCAGTACACGGAGATTGTATCAATCTAGCAAACAGGAATTGATTTTCTTTTCTCAGATAGTTTGTTCTTTAAACCTCCCTTGCAATTGCATGTACCCCGAGGATGGCAACAAATCAGTAAAAAGGAAACTTTCTCCTGGCTCTTATACCAGTATCTCTTGGAGATGCCACCCAACAGTATGTAGCACTGGGGAAAGTGTCTCTAAGCCAAAGTTTAGTGATGAAGTCATTTAGATAAGCCTCTCCCTAAAGTCAGTATGTTCAGAAAACTAGTTGGCCTCAGATATGATGTTTTCCCAATTTCTTTCTAGCATAAGAATAAAGCATACCAGGGACTCGCATTTCATGTCTCCAAAGAAAGATTTGTAATATAAATGTCTACTCAGATAAACCAAACAACTATCAGATAGCTTAGACCCCAAACTTAGGCTTTTGTTTTTCCCCTTCCAAAAAAGGGAAACTATGAAAATGTAACCTTTTTTTTTTTTTTAAATTGGCTTAATTTAAACCTTTCCCCTGAAGTGTCTGCAACTCAGCTATTGTAACATGGGGTTAATAAAGACAAAAACAAAAAGTGAAACTGACCAGTGTACTCTCACTGTCCCAGCCAAGTTGCACTCAAAAATCAAACACAAAGTGTTGGGAGAAAAGGAGACATATCACAGTCAGTCGTTATTTAACAAAAAAAAGTTCTTACCTAACAAACGTTCTTTTAAGTAGAGCATCGCTGTAGTGTCACTAGGGATCTGTCCCTGTACTACTTATTCAGTCTAAACAGTCATTAACTTTTACGGAACCTGGTCCTAGTAGACACTACAAGCTCAAGTCCTCTCTAGCATTAGTTCTCCCTGCCTTCTTTGGGTACATTCTGATCAACGTGCCCAATGCTACAGGTGTCACTACTATTCTGTCAGACTGTAACTTACTTGTTCCATGAACCTCCTCTCCAGTGAAGCGAATGTTAAAGGCATATGTGGGATCCCCACCACTGGCTAGTTTAACACAGAGCTGAGAGGATGGCACACAGGCTAGCTGCCTAGCTGCCTGGCAGAAGTAGGAATTCTCTGAAGAACGGATCTCCCCTGTTTAAAAGAAACATCTTTAAAAATTGAATCTACTTTGAGTATTTTGTGTTCATAAGAGAGTGAGCTTGGTTATTTTAAGACCAATTTGAAATCATAGACAGTAAATGAAAATGAATTGTAGAGAGAATAAATAATGCACATACCTCCCACGATTTCTAAGGGATCCAGTGTGATTTCTGGGGCTGCATGATCTGCTGTTCTTTGCACTGTGGCATTCAGCACTCGATTCATTACAGTCACCTTTGTGTCATAAAAGATTAAACCTAAATAAAGAAATACATGGTTAGGTCTACCTCGGTCCTTCTGTCATTTTACTTCCTGAAATCATCTGAACAACAACATTTTGGGACTGATTTAATCTTCTGTAAGCCTCAGTCTAAGAGCTGGCAAACCCAAACAAACCTTTTTGTATTCAGAGTTAATATTATTGGAAGACACATGTCAAGTAAGTACTTTATCACGACATTTCTGTACAACAGATTTCTTATATTAGAGGAGTATTTCCTGTCAGCCAAACCATAGGCTGTGCACATAGGATAGAAAAGCACATTTCTAAATGGTTTTCTGAAATCTGGCATGCTCTCAGGGTGATGATGAGGATATAAATAAATGTGTCGCATGGCACCCCAAATCCATACGCTACGCACAGAGACTGCGAACACTCAACTTTCATACCTTCGGTTTGCAAGTGCTCTTTTCTGGTTGGGTAGAAGCAAAGACCCAGCATCAGCTATTTCTCCAGAGTAAATGAAGTGATTGATCTGGCTAGGATAGCCTAAACCTTTTACTCATTTTAGGATTACTGGAGATTCTCATGAAGGCGTCTATCTTTGTAAGCCTATCACGTCTGTGGAAGTTAGCAGGCTCCCCGGTTCTGGAACCCTTCACTATATTGTATGCTCCTGTGACTGACATACCTTATTGTTATTTAGATTGCGGTAGCACATGGAATCCCCAAGCAGGACAAACGTCCCTTGTGCTAGGTATTCTACACAAACAGAACAGCCGGTCTCCATCCGCCAACCATACAATCTAAATATTGATGTTTGTAGTGAGATACAGCAGCCTCCTCGTACTTCAGCAAGGTCATTTGAAACATAGCACTGCTCTGGTTGGTTCTCTCT